AACTAACTGCAGTACACAGTGCCGTTTCGGCCTTCTGGGCCTCATCAGTGCAGTGCTGATGCTAGGATGGGGGAGAACCGATATAGTTACCCCGAACGATCCCACATTTGTGGTATTGTCTAAGCCATATGGCTTAGACGAGTTCCTAATCCTTTAGAATTTCTCTTAACAGTATCAATACAAAATCAAACGGAAAAGAGATGAGAATAAAGAAAAATATCAATTAGGGGATTATCAATTGATCCTATACCAAATTTTTCAAACTAGCATCATAAAGATTGTGTGGCAGACAGTAAGGAGGGTTACTAATGGGATGTTATAAGTGAAAGGATTGACTGGGAACAAATATTAATAGCACATGTTGAACTGAAGCTTATTCTTGTTTTTTGATAGTAAAACTTATTTCCTTATACCATTAAGGTATTCATCTTTACTATCATCACACCACAGGGAGTCAGTGTGAAAAATAAAGATCATTCCGTATTCTTACAAGTTTGAGGGGAATTATCAATTTCTTAGTTTGACATCACAACCAGTCACAGGCAAAGAATAATACCTAATTCATCTCATGATGTAGATACATGGTTGAAAAGACATGACCAAAAACTTTTCCCTTTATTTCAGAAAAGTAATGGTCATTCTGATCAGTGCCATTTTTGCCTGGATGAAGACCTCACATACATAAGACTTTAAAAGATTTGAGTCTTGCAGTACTTATCATCATACAATGTAAAATATCAAAATATTATGAAAAAATTTTTGAAATTTTGAAATTTCCTATGATTGTTATATAATTTACAAATGAGAATTTAGGAAGAAGGCATGCTTACTGCATGGTTTCCACACCTCAGGGTAAAGATAGGAAAAAGGGAGTTTGTAAAGAAAAAGTGGTGCTTAGTTATGTCTGTGGGGATCATTACAAGATAATTTAAGAAGTCTTATTCACTGAGTTGATAATGTAAATTGGCCGCTGTATCAGGTTTCTAAAGCTGAAATTTCCTGTGCTAGCCCTTCACTAGAGAAAAAGACAAAGGGCTTAAAATGTGAGCTTTAGAAACTTTTTTACAGTGACCAATTTTTCGCTATAAACTCAGTTGACGAATCCAAATTATAAAATAATGAAAGATCACTTTCTTTGTCAGCATGAAGATTGAAAGAGATGCATAAATGATGAACTGCATTTTAGAAATTCACAGTAAGATGGTGACCATGCAACTGGGGACAAAACTAGTTTCGTTAAGTGTGGGATAATTAGCATTGTCTTGTTGGGGGACAATACCAGCCCAGATATTTTTATTTTTGCTTAAGAAGCCTAATAAAACTAATTCCCTTCATAATTGAATTATGTCAGTACACCATGATCAAAGTTCCTTTCATTCTTATAAATTTCACTGACAGCGAATTAATTTAATTTTTACATTTTTGTTTATGCTTGATTATTGTTTGTTGAATTCACCATTACCAGTCGTGTGCACACTTTCCTTAAACATACAAGTCTTGCAGACAGTATCTTAACTTTCATCAATATTATATGATCTTAAAATTCAGATAATATTCTTTTAAATTCTTTTAAATTGTTTCCTGGCTAGTAGTATTGATAGACTCAAAAATTACTCACTATAGAGCTCACAAACCAGAAATTGTACATCAACTTAGCACTCAGGATAATTTTACAAATTAAAGGAAGTTCTTTCTCTTGCTTCTATTCGGCTTAGTAAACTTTGTGGGGCACAAAATGAGCAATGAATGATACTCATTATATGGCAGGGTTCCCAAGAACTACAAACTATGAACTAAGAATTACTTTGTAAGGACATCTGGAAACTCTTGTCACCACAGATTATAGATGACTTGTCTCCTTAAATTTTGAAATTGTTCCCTTTTGATTTTACCCAAGGTCATGATCATGATCCAGTATAAATGTTATCCAGTACTTTAGAAAATGCTTCACTGCCAACTGCACTGGAAGGGATCCTTCAGTCAAGAAAGTTACTAAAATAATTTCAAACGTCTAGTTCTTGTTATTCTGATATAACGGTCTTCATGAATGTAAGAAAGAAGATTTACAGAAAAATGATTTTTGAGGTCGTCCCAGAGGACAATTTTCTGTAATTTTCTTTTTTTTGGTAGGGATTCCAGTAGCACTTAAAAATATGACATCGTGGGGCATCCACAAAAAACTGTTATTTAGAATATTTTTGTAATGCAGACAGTTTAAAGTGCCCCTGAGACGAAAATTGACCATTTTATTTTAGCCTAAATTGTTTACACAATGTTGAATTGGGTCCAATTAAGACTCTTTTTACCATTAAAAACTCAAAACAAACCTTCGATGACCAATTTTTACCGCTTCAAAGTCGTCCAAAAATCGTCCGCCATTGCTGAAAACATGTTCCAGCCGAGCCCGCAAAAACGTCATCATGACGTCAAAGGCTCAACAAACTTTTGCTTTGCTTTGTCACAACTCTCTTTGTTCGCTGCACAGAGAATCACACATATTACTTTTTTGAGAACTGTTTCGTTGTCAGTCGGGAAATGTCGACTTTTTCAGACGATGAATTGTCCCAGAAATCATCTGAAGCTTCTGTGGATAGTTTTGCGCCGACAAACGATGAATTTTTGCCATGCGAATAAAGGTAAACAAAGAACGGCACGGACTCCCCATGTGGCTTTTGTGGTCGCATCGCTTTATCGCCTTCGAACTGTATTTTTGCTTGTCGTAAGGGATTTTCCTTTTTGTAAGAAATGATCGGGTGATTAGTAATAATAGTTTTCGGCAATGGCTAATTGTGTATCCAATGGCTAATTGGTGTTCCTCAGGGTGTTCCTCAGGGAAGTATCCTGGGTCCTATCTTATTCATTATCTATTTCAACGATGTACATAAACCGCTTCAACACTCGAAGATTATCACTTATGCCGACGATTCAGTCATCTATACCTCTTCTAAAGATATTGATACTGTACAGAGAAGCCTTAGCGAGGATATGAATAACCTGTGCGAGTGGTTTAAAGACAACGAACTGATCATTAACCTAAAAAAGGACAAGACG